TAGAGTGAGCTGAGGCGGCAGGGTCGAGAACGGCACGCCCGGTGGATCCGACGAATGAGCGGCAACCACATGTGACGACCCCGGGCTGGATTCCGCTTCGTCCACGGTGAAAGTTGATGTATTCCCTCAGCGACCAGCACAGATCAGCTCTAGGCATGACGAAGCGGATATCGTCCTCTTTTGGAAGACCAAACAAAGTAGTTTCGCTTTCACAACGAAGCACACAGCGCCTTCACGACATGGCTGCAGTGTCAACAAAACTACAGTGAGACTAAAAGTTATGCCTTCTTTCTTTGCGTGAACATTTGGATGGCGTTATGCAAATCTTCCCACATAGTGAGGTAGATATGTGGGGGCGTGTTAGAACGAGCCGTTTTAGGTAGGTGTGGCTGACTCTGAACTTTTATAAAGAATATCTCTTTGGATTTGAGACTTTAGTCTTTGCAACTTTACAGATCTTTTTTATGCACCAAGAGCTTGTAACACTCCAAGGAGAAAGGAAAAATTGAAATCGCATCATATGACCCCTTTAAAAAATGTCAGCTATTACAGCTAGAAATCTCTCTTTGTGAGTGTGATCTTTATGAAATGATTCTTCAATGATCACAAGTAATTGGCAACGTCATTGAAATTCATAGGTCAACATATATTTGTGATATTTGTGAAATATCTCATTATGTCTCGACCTGTTTAGATTCATAAAGGCTGACAGCAAGTATCCAACAATGGAATTATGTTTTTCTAGTGCTCGTGTAGCAATTATGGGTTTGCTCTTTTGGCATGATGAAACGTTGAGTTATGAATGCTAGATGGAGTTCATCGAGACAGAGAGTCAGAGAGATAGGGAGAGAGAGAGGGAGAGAGAGAGAGTGATTTACTGCGGCAAGGCAGACAGCAATTCTCTCTGGCATTTGGATCTACTCCGAGAACCTGTGAGTGATCAAAGTGTCAGGTCACGTTTTTAATGGAATCTCTGACCCATTGGGAATAAAAAACACACTGCGCTTGGAGAGCCACTTCTTTGTATCATCACTGTCCCATGGCACCATTTGAAGTCCTGTCATAAAAATCATGTTTTACCTCACTGTATAGAGCAGTATATTTGTTGGTCATGTTTTTATCCTTTGAGATACATATCCTGAATCATATATTGTACCGTATTAATAATAATAATAATAATTTGTTGCATTTATATGGCGCTTTTCTAGACACTCAAAGCGCTTTACAATGTGAAGGGGGATCTCTTATTGTCTTATGGAGCAGTCAATTTAACATAATAATTTAGTATTATTAGTATTATTCATTTACTATATGCAAATGTAGTAAATTAATAATATACACCTCGTAAGGTGTGCTATACACCTCATAATCATAAAACACCTGTTTAATGATATGGAAATCATTAATGATGTTTTATGTCTGCAACAGTAATATAAAATATTTTGAATTCTATAAAATTTTAAAACAAGCTCAGATATTTTATATTCTATTAATTGTGATAAATCAAACAGCAGTAATGTAATTCATTTGATTAAGAATTTTTAATCAACTGACATTCCTAAAGAATCTAAGAATTAAAATATTTCATGATTTGATTGAATGTATGCCAGTGTATTTTATACTTTTCTTCTGACGTTGTTGTTTTTTATAAATCCAGGAATGGGCGGCAAACAATGAGACCCGGCAGCAGATCGAAAACACAGTTTTGTACGGCTACTACAGTAAGTACTGAATGACACTATTTTGGTGCAGTAAATTAAATTTTCTTACCTTGCATTTTAGAAAATGTACCTTTATGTGCCTTCGTCATCTGCCCTTATTGTTTGAGTTTCATTGTGGGAGCCGGCACAGTCCAGTCCGCAGCTCATCGTTAATGTCCATTCACTCGGGTTATAAATTATGGCACGCGCATGATCTGACATCGGCCTATAAAAGCTGGCAGTTAAGTCGCTGGATGGTTTTATTTGTGTGGAACCGTCTTGGTCAAATTAAGCTAAAGTGAGTGCAGTTTTCAGCTGAATAAATCTCTTGTCTGCGAGGGTAAGAAACCACATTAGTCAGTGACCTTTTCCGTGAACAAGGTCGGAAGGACTCATGAACATGGTTGAACACGTCTTTTTGGAACCGCTTCCTCTCTTTATGACTTCATAGCGTTAAATATGTCCCAGTGACATGCATGCATGCTTTAATTGAGTCCTCCATTGCTTCCACTTTAAATAATATATTTTAGGAATGCTGGGAGCTGGGACAAGGTAACATAAAATTGAGTTATGGCACAGTTGCTTGATTATCATTAGAGTTTGCGAACAGATGCTGCGCTGAACAGGCCGTCAGTAGTAGAGCGGCACGGCGTCTGTTGAGCAGTGCCAAATGCGCTAGAGACAAGCTGTCAGCCAATACAAACCAGCCAATCAAAACCCCTAACTTCCATAGTCAGAAAAGCATCAGAAGATTAACAATGACAGTGCAGGTAGACGTGCCGCAAATCCCCTGTCCAGTTTTCGGCCCGTGTTCTCCAAGAACAAAACAAAATATGATTCGATAAGTCTATAAGATATACTTTGACAACAAAACTTTTGTTTTCGGGAGAACTTTGGAGTGCATAATGCTGTTTTGTAGATAACGTGAAGCATTTGCAATGCTTTTACTGTAATATTTCAGAATGAAACAGAATATTCAGTGTGAAACATCCATTTGGTTTTGATTGCATCATCAAAAGTACAAATTATTAATGGTATAATGGTAAAAGTATATTATGAATGGTTTTTGTTAAGGCTTTAAGGCTCATGCTTATGAGTTGAACAAAGCCCTAACCATAAGTATTAAACATTGATGTTTGACGCATATTGTGCTAAAAACATTTCAAATCATGTGGGTTGTTGAGGAGTGGTTTTTTGTTTTTGTTTTTTTGTTGTTCAGATGATAAAATCTTTTAAACTTGTATTGAAAGAAGAACCTGAGGTGCCAGAATATCTTGAGACTTAAAGGTTTGATGCTTTTGACTTGGACCGATAAACAATCAGAACCACCCTGAACAAAATATTAATGTGCCAAGAACACTATAGTAACTGCACAGTAGCTTCCAGTTGTTCCAAACCTGTACGACTGACTTTCTTGTGGAGAACACAAAAAATATATTTTGTAGAATGTTTTTTCCCTCAGTAAAGTTATTTTTGATACCACTGATTTTCATTTTATACACAAAACAATTTAAAAAAATCTCCAGAATATGTTTTTTTTTTGTGTTCCGGAGAAGAATGAAAGTCACTGTATCTTTAACATAATTCATTTCATCTGCTCGGCCTTGGTTATGTATGCATTTTAAAGAAAGTCATTAGGACTATAAAACAACTGTTTTTGTTCCCTTCAGAATAAGGTAGTGATGAATTGTGCACAATGAGAGCAGGGACATTCATTAAGACTGGATCCTTGGACTGAAAACTTTTTACTTTAGTGGCTTATAATGATCTAATCACAGAGAAGCTGGAAACATAACCATGTCTCTTGTGCAAAAATCTTTTTCTCTCTGCTTTTTGGTGTATTATTTTCACTACTGAGTATTGGTTATAAAATGTATAGTTTATGAAGATGAATTCAATAATTTATATAAAACAAAGCAATTGCCTGCTGGTGGTACACTGAATGTTAAGAACTTTTTTTTTAAATAATGAAACGGATATAACCGATATCTGTGATTCAACCGGTAGACAGCTTGATTATGAATTCTAAAATGGAAGTAGATAAACTGTGCTTTATTAAGACAAATTCCACAGAGCACCAGTTCAGACTGTACTTTTAAACCCACGACTTCCACATCTTGTGTTGTTTAACACACTGCTCTTATGATGTTCTCCTAATGCTTTTTCTTGTGTTACATCTCTTCTTTCTTTGCTGTGGCATCCACAAAGGGTCTGATTGCTTCTTTTCTGGGTTTTCTGGAAGATCAGGGGTTGTACCATGCTGACTCTGCTCAAAGAGACACCAGAATGCTGCATTTGTACTTCTGAAAGAAAATGAAATTTAAAAAAGAAAAGGAAACCCCAGTGTAAAAGTGTAAAAGTTTTTCCCAGTGGAAAAACGCTTGTTTTGTTTACTGTGTGGAGACGTGCTGATACCGCGTTTGGTCTCGTTCTGTATCGCGTATCTTGTCAGTGTCTGCGCTTGCTTGGCCATTTGTTGCGGAGAAAATAAGGAAAGTATGTCCAGCTGAATTAATTTAGTATTTTGTTAGACGGGTATAAAAAAGCTTAGTTTACCGCGACAGCGGTCGCGGCAGCCGTCGCGTGAAGGCCTCCTCTTGTGAAGACCGAAGAGTGTAAAGACCATCGACTCTACCGTGCGACGCCACCGGGCAGGACACCGGCAAAGGATAAGTATTGCTTTTTATTTCTCCTCTTTCCTATTACTTGTTTCGCTTCTGTTTCAGTTTTTATAACCATTACTTACTATGTGTAAGTAAGTTGTTGTTTTCTAGCATGTGTGTTTGGCAGTGTTATTTTTTAGGATTACTGATAAACTGGATAAAAGCGTCTAATAAATGACTAAATAAATAAATACAAATAAATAAAAGGCATCCTGGTGTGCTGTGTGGTCCTCCGTTCAGGCATCATGCGTGGAGGTGGGATAGAGAGATGAAAAACGAGATTCGGGTGACTTTGAGTTTCTTAAGAAGATTGAGGATGGAGAGAGACGGCCGTCTGATGACGTGTGTGATTATGACTAACACAGCCTCAGCTGCAGAACGATCTGTTCATTAGAAAAATGGTTATAGGGTGCAAATACGTAGGCTTTGAAGACCTGTTTGTGGAAGGGGTTTGAGGAGATGAGAGCGCTGTAGAGTTATGATATTGAATAGGTGCTGTATATGTCCGAGTCATTCAAGAAACAGGTGTTGGGATGGTGACTTTTCAAGTAAGTTTCTGTAAGATGTTTTCTTTAATACTTTTATTACTTTAATTCTTCTAAATTGATTTGACCTGATTAATAGACATGGAAATTAATATGCTGACATCAAGATCAATATGTAATTCTTGATGAATTCTACCAGCTTATAGCATTTTCTGAATATCAGCTCTTGAACATGGCTCATTTGAAAACTCATGATGTTATTTCCGCCTAATGATCCTATTTAAAATTACAGTTCAGTATTGTTTTTAGGTAAATATGCGGTATGATGGAGGAAGCCAACGTTCATGGACAGATAAAAAACAAAGTGTTAAAAATAATAGTTTTAGTAATGTTTCTTTAATATTTTTAATAGAATAAGTTGAATTCCTGCATCTAAATCTTGCAAAATACATAATAGCAGATTTTGTGCACTTCGTCAAATGTGGACACAAATGGCGTTTCTTGCATGGAGTGACTCGTGTGCGGTTTTCAGTTTCCTTCTTTTCATTTTCAACATGCTCCAGTCATCGAGAGCGCTGGGGTTTATTCAGCAGAGATTTACTGTTTGCTTTTGTATTCCTGACGACAAATGTTTGTCTTTCTTTTCATTTGCTCTTGAGCTCATCCCGTTGTCCTCATGGGGATGGACACAGAGAAGAACAACTGTCTCATCCAGAGAAACACAAGCCAAGCAGGAGGAGGAATAGGAACAAATTTGAATCTTTTGCAAAAGTGTGGTGTCAACACCTCTCAAGAGCTCATCCAAGAAAGTGCCTTTGTTCTCGGAAAAAGATGCCGCACGCTGCATTTCCACCATCCGCCGTTAACACTCAACCATCTGAGCATTGGCTATTTGCATTAAAATCACCTGCTGCAGTGAAATCTAACAGTAATTAATAGATTGTCCTCAATCAATAGCTGCATTCTGCAAGCTGCTCCCGCAGTCTCTCGCTCACAGGTCGTTATACTGCGATTAAGGTATGTAGATATTGCTTTCTCCACGGACATACCCGCAGTGCCTTCAAACAGAATCATCCTGCTGCTTTTTTTTTTTCTTCTTGGTGGCATTTTCGTTCTGCTGCAGTTCTTGAATTAGTCGCATTGATTGTGGGCCCCCCCTCCCATCTCCGCATCATGTGCAGAAGAGATTTCCAAGCAGCCTGTAGGTGGAGATCAAGCTCCATCTATCACAGCAAAGCCGAATCCAATACATTTGAGGAGACTGGCAGGTCAAAGCCTCAAAGGCTTCTTTACAAAGCAGAATCTGAGATCCCTGTCCCCCCATGTCTGTGCAAACGGAATAATTACAGCCCTAACTCGATCTCGCCGCAGTGTGTGGCGATCACCACAAACTTGTCCTGAAGGAGGAAGAGATTGCTTTCTTCTGAAGTAGTTGGGCTCTACAGACTTGGTTGTAATTATTTTATTGCGGTGCGTTCCCTTTGTCAAACGTGAACATGCTTGATGTCAGGTGCACAAAAATTCTGCGTTTGTTAGAGGCGCCATTTGTATACCAATGTGAAGCCCTCTCAACATCCACTGACATGCTTAACAGCCCCTTCAAGAGCTTTTGCTTGTTACAGCCGCTCAGTTTTAATCAAACTCTGACGTGCTGTGTCATGTGTTAAGCTGAAAATGGGTTTGTGCTTTGTGTAAGACAACACTTTACACTGTAATCATGTGACAGCTTTCAAACCCTGAAAAATCTTGATTCAGCAAATCTGACAATGAACTTCATAAATCCTAGAAAAGGTCCACATTTCCACTTAAGTGTTTGCAGCCATCTTTTTAGAGTCTCTTTTGACATCTTACTATTTATGCAAATGCTATATTA